GGGAGTGGTTAGGGTCACACGAGGCTGGTCTCTGTCACAGCTGGCCTTCCGGTCACCAAATACAGATTTCGTTCTTCTACACATAGAGCATATCCCTTCCCCCAAGGGAGGCATCCTAGGGTCCCTTACAGAATCACAGAAGATCCCGTGTGGGGCGGTTTTAGGCGACCGTGTTTGGGGGCAGTTTGTTACACAGCCGTAGATAACAGGCACACGCACACAGTTCTTCCTTGCCGTCTTAGCCCCATGCTTCCTGGTAGCTACTGTTGGGGCCATTTGGGGTAAGGTAGGCGTGTGACCCCGTAAATCTGATACTTAACCAGGCGGTTGAGGTCCTTGTCCCCGTGAGACGTTTTTACCAGGACCTGAGTGCTCGAGGCATTCTTCCTTCTTAGCTCTTCCCATTTGACTTCTGGACACAGTTTCCTTTTCCAGCCTTTCGATGCCCCCAACGTTTTGGGTTCTCTGTCATTTCCGTTTGCAAACAGGCCTTTTCTTTCCTGAGCTCACGGCTTTCCCGTGCCAGCTTTCCACGTGCAGTAGCCGACCCGCCCCACGCATCCTCGCAGCACCCCCGGCCTGCCCCCGGAGTTGGCCCACCAGGCACAGAACCCGCCTCCCGCGTTAGCTCAAGCGCCTTACCTAGTTGTGGGCTCACGTCATGGAGCCCTCCTGCCGTCCAGCCTTTCTTCTGTGTTCTTCCTGCTTGTCACCCAACTGCCAAGCCAATACCAGACAGACTTGGTTCTGGTTCGGGTGATAGTGGAAACCCGCTCGTGATTTCCAGTTTCCGCATCAGACTAGAATGCTCTGCAAAAACCAGCCCCAGAACAATATAGGAGTTGCTCAGAAACTGCCCAGTGGGGATGTTCCTTGGCTCCTCCCTTGCCATGTTCTGTCCTCAAAATGTGGCCTCCAGGGTACCACGGGGAAGCATGGAAGGATCGACCAGGGCAGCTTTTAAGTGGGTCAGACCTTTACGTGCTGTACAGCCTTTCAGCCCACCTTTCTTTGGCCAGAGCTACTCGCAGGGACCCACCTGTTCACAAGAGGCCTGGGGAATGGAGCCTTCCGGGGAGCCCACGGCGCCGTCCCCCTGGACTGTTCTTCATGTGGATGGTCCCAGGTCCCCACCCTGCTGCCCGCTTCCCAGGCAGGGTGCCCTCAGCCTCCCAAGTTTCTAGCCTTCTCCTGCCTTGACTGGGAGAGGCGCTGGGCAGCTTCCTGAGGCGACGGTCGCATTCTAGACCCTGACCGGGCATCGGGCACGCGCTGGTCAAAACTCAGTGCGTACGTGGCACGCTTGACACTTAACGCATTTCAGTCCGCACCCACGTTCCCTCGAGAGACACGAACGACACCTACAAACGAATCCGGAACTCCGGGCCCGGAGAGGCATATGCTGAAACGTAGGGCTCTCTGCGATTTATTTGGAAATGCACCCAAGCCAGGCCGGCTGGAAGGAGGGATGAGAACTCCCAAGTGTGGGAAGCTGGCAGGGGTGACATCGGGGCGGCTGGTGGCCGGCTGTTCACGGTGACCTTATTTCCACTTCGTAAGAAAGTGTTGATAAAACTGCACGATGGAACGGACGAGAAGGGGGCCGACCACTGTCAGAGGTGCGGGCAGACCGGGCCTGACGTGGTGGTGGAACAGAGGAAGCTCCTGGATCTCTCTTTTATTTATTTATTTATTTATTTATTTATTAAAGATTTTTATTTATTTATTTGCGAGAGAGAGAATGAGAGACAGAGAGCATGAGAGGGGGGAGGGTCGGGAGGGTCAGAGGGAGAAGCAGACTCCCCGCCGAGCAGGGAGCCCGATGCGGGACTCGATCCCGGGACTCCAGGATCATGACCTGAGCCGAAGGCAGATGCTTAACGACTGAGCCACCCAGGCGCCCCTCTTTTTTTTTTTTTTAAAGATTTTATTTTTTTTTTAAGTAATCTCTATCCCCGCCCCCCAGCGTGGGGCTCGAACTCACAACCCCGAGATGAAGAATCGCACACTCCGCCGACTGAGCCAGCCAGGCGCCCGTCTTGGATCATCGCCATTTCCCCGTGAGCCCTTCAGCTGAGGGGGAGCGCTACTGGAGGTGCCAAGAGGGAAGACAGGTGAGGGGACAGGGACCACCAGGAGGGGACGGGGATGCCTGGGTGCGTATCTTGGAGGCAGTGCAGTCACTGGTCACGAGAAATAGGCGGTGGGATGGGTGACTGCTGAGGGGCAAGGCCAAGGTCATTGAAGGGGAGGAGGCGAGGAGGAGGCGTGGACGCTGGTGGTGTCCGGAATGGCCCTAGGGCAAGGCGGTCAGGTCCTCGGTGGACGTCGGTCATTGGTCTGCCGGTCCAGGACGGGGCCGTGGAAATGCTGGAAATGTGAGTGGGGTCCAGACGCAAACCTCGGCTCTGGGCCCACGGTCTGCAGGGGGGCAGCAGAACAGGGCTGCAGAGGGCCAGTGTGGGCTTCAGCACAGGACCGAGGTGGAGGGAACTTTCCATTCGGAGAAGAGGGTCAGGATCACAGGAATGTTGCTGACGCCAGACCACGAGTTGCAGAGCACACGGCGGGCCGGGGGGGCCCTGAGCAGCACAGACTTCCGGGGCGCAGACAGCTAAGTAAGAGGAGGGGCAGAGCGGGGTCAGCGCAGGGGTGTCGTGGGGCAGGTTCCACGGACAGCCGGGGTGGGGCGGGGCGGGTGGCAAGGCCGGTGGTGTGGAGGCCGGGCGCCCGGGGCTTTGTGGCTCCCCCTGAATCGGGCTGAGGGCGGCGCTGGGTGGAGAGCAGCCCGGGCGGGCCGCGTGTCCCATCCCCAGGCGGGGGGCAGGCCGCGAGGGGGACTACCCCAGCCGTGCCGTGGGGACCTGTGTGTTGAGGGTGCTGGGCTGCCGTGAGACCGGAGAGCTGGGGACCTCTCCCTGCAGCTCCCGCCGATCCCATTCTCTCCTCCTCGCACTGAGCACTTGGTGTCCCTCCTGGGTTAGGGAGGAGTGTCTGGAGGCGAAGGAAAGGCCACTCAGCCATGAGTGGGGCTGAACCAGACCTCACATGCCAGGTGGCTGTCGTGGGGTGCCGCTCCGGGCAGCTTCCATCCCCTAAGCAGTGTGGGGAGGGCGGCAGGCGGGCCCCAGTGACCTGCTCCCAGGGAGCCGGGGGCAGTGCCAAGGGGAGAGGAAGTAGCTCCAGGCCTGGGTTCAGTGAAAAGGTGATGCTTTATTATATAAAAATCTCCCCCCCACGCCTCCCAGCCCCCCGAGGCTGCATGTCAAGCAGATGGATCCATGGCCAACTCTCTGGAAGGACAGCCCTGCGTTCTCTGAGGGCCGCCTGGCCTGCGCGGCGGCGTGGCCAGAGTCCGTGGCCGTGGCAGGGGCCGGGCGGGGGCCTTCACGGGGGGAGGCCCTGCTGCGGGCTGGGCCCTGAGGCGCCCTGCGTGTCAGGAGGCCCAGTGTCGTAGCCCAGCTTCCTCATGTCCTTGGTCACCACGTTGAAGAGGAGAGTGACAAAGCCCTGCGAGCGGACCCGGGTCACTGGGAAGAGAAGGGCAGCGTCAGCCAGGCTGCTCTGGGAATGTCTCCGCCCCAGCAGTCTCTCCTGTAAAGTGGGAACGACTGGGAGGTACGGGGGCGGCACCAACCAGGCCCGGGTGGGAGCGGCGCTCGGGGGAGAGGCCTGGGGCTGCCCCCGCGGTCCGTCTGTGTGCCTGGCAGGTGCCTGGCTTCCACCGTGTTTGCTGGGGGGTCCGCCTAGTCCCTCCCGGGCTCCGGCCTGCCTGTGGGGGGTGGGGTTGCGGGGATCAAGCTTTACCTTCCCGGCCTTCACCCTGAGCCACCACCTTGGGGTCTGTGTACTCGGGCCGCCGTCCCATGAACCAGCTGGGAAGACAGGAGAACCCTGGGTGAGAGGATCCTCGGCCTGGCTCTGCCTCAGAGCCGAGACGTGGGCGCTCTCCTGCCCTCAGAAACCGGCAGCCCTCCTCCAACCCCTGCCCCGGGGACCAGGCCCCGGGCAGAACCTCCCCACCGCCCCTCCCTCTGCCGGGGAGAGGGGCGGCTGGGTCCCACGGGTGGCATCCACGGAGGCCTGGCAGGCTGCCCCCAGGCCCGGGGTGCTCTGCACGCCAAGCTTTCCCACCACGGTCACCCGTGGCTTTGAGGGAGATGTGGGGCTGGGGGCACAGTGGGAGCCCCAGTGGAAATCCCAGAAAGGGGACAGCAGCTGGGGGGGGGGGCAATGCAACCCCCTCCATCCTTCCGGCATTCGGCATTGGCCTCCTTGGGGTGTGCAGAGGGGCCAGATCTGGGCTCTCCGCTTTCCTCTCAATAGTGTGGGATCCAGGACAAATCACTTCCCGTCTCTGAACCCCTGAATCCCAGTTCCTCTCAGCTGTACCTAGTGGTAGCCAGCTCACAGGGCTCGGGGTGAGGGCACTCTGTCAACTACCAGGTGAAACATTCGTCCGATTACGGTTCTCGCCCCGGGGTGCCCGACACGATCCTCTCACCCCACCGTCGCAGGTGTGCACCTGCCCCTCCCAGCAGCCCCGCTCTGTACCCCCCCTCCCCCCCCACCGAGGCTGAGAGCAGGGCGGTGCAGGGCGGTGCGGGCTGTGTGCAGGGGTGCTGTCCCAGGCCTCCGCTCCAGGCCCCGCGGCCTGAGCCAGGGCAGCTCCTTCCCCAGCAGCAGCCGCGCCTCCCACACGCCCACCGGGGCCCCAGCAATCTGGGTGCACGTTCCCTGCCGGGGGGGGCAGACGCGGGCGTCGAGCCATCCAGGAGCGCCTCCAGCCTGAGCTTTGGGGGTCCTGCCGGGGGAGGCCGGTGATGCAGCTGTGGGCAGCAGGCGCCCCACGGGAAGGAGACCCCTCGGTCTGTCTGCCGAGGTTCCCGCATCCCCAGAGCAGGCTCCGCCCTGCGCTCCGCCCTGCCTTCCGCCAAAGTGGCTGGCCTGGGAGGGCTGGCAGGCCTGCGCTCCGCCCCAGCGCCCCAGCGCCCCAGCGCCCCGGCGCCGCCACCCTCCCCCCACCAGCAGGCCCTCCAGCTCCGCGCTGGAGTCCCCTGTTGGCTCAGGCCACCTCGACTCGGCCAGCCCCCCGCCCCCGGGTGCACTCTCTGGCGAGGGCATGGGTGCCACTAGCTGCCGCCCGGGGGTGGGGCTCCGTCCCGGCTTTGGCCGGACAAAGCGGTGACTGCCCCCTGCTGTCTGCAGGCCGTGGGGACAGCTAGTAAGGAGGCTCACGGGCTCCCAGCCTCGGGAGAGGGGATAGGGAGGAGAATTGGGAAGCTAGGGTTCCAGCCAGGGCTGGATGGCAGGCCACCGCCTCTCTGTGCCTCAGTTTCTCCATCCGAGGAGGGGGGCTCTCCACCTCGCAGGCAGGGGAAGCAGCCACAGAGCCTGGCACACCCCCACCTACTCGTACTCGTGCACTGCACTGCTCTCTCCTGAGGTCCACAAGGACGGGCCGTTCGGGGGAGGGGAGAGCGTCCAGGCAGTGGCTGAGGCCAGGGAGGACCCAGCGGGCTGGAGGAAGCGAGTCCGGGGGCACGCAGGCAGGGGGGAGGGCCCGAAGTCAGGGGGCAGGAGAACACAGGGTCTCGCAGCACCCTAGCTGAAGCTAATGCTTGATGGGTTTCTAAGGTTGCGTGTTTAGAAAAAGCATTTTTGTCGCGCTGTGAAGTCTAGGTGGGGGGCGCTGTCAGGAGCTGAATAACGGCCCCAGATACCAGGTCCTAGTCCCTGGACCTCGCAAATGTGACCGTATTTGGGAAAAGGATCTTTGCACATGTGACTAAAATAAGGATCTTAAACACGGGGGGGGGGGTTGTCCTGGATTATCTGGGTGGGCCCTAAATGCCCCAAGTGTCCTTCTAAGAGAGGTGGAGGGAGAGGTGACACACAGGGGAGGGGTGACACGTGAGGTCACACACGTGACCACAGAGGCAGAGACTGGAGTGATGGGCCGCGAGCCAAGGAAGGCCGCAGGCACCAGAAGCTGGAAGAGGCCAGGAGCAGATTCTCCCCAAGAGCCTGGGCGGGGGGCGGGGGGGGCAGCCCTGCCGGCGCCTCGATCTCAGCCCACTGACGCGGACTTTGGCCTGGGAGATAATAAATTTCTGTCGTTGACGCCGTTGAGTTTGTGGTCACTGGTTACAGCAGCCCCGGGAACTAACAGGGCTGAGTGGAGGAGGGCAGGCCGGGTGGGCCGGGCAAGGGCTGGCCTCCACCGACGGGCTCTGGGAAGACTGGGATCCAGCGGCCTTCGCTCATCAGACCTTTCCCAGTGTCCCGACGACAAGCACACGCCTCGCCCGGGGGAGACCGCACCGGCCCCGAGCTGCTAGCCTCAGGCACCGGCAGAAACACCCAGAAACTTCTCCAGCACTGAGACCCTTTCCTCAGAGGGCTGTGGCCCTGAGACACGAGCTTCCCTGGGAGCTGCGGGGTTTGAAGCGGTGCGGACGTCCCGGCCAGGACATCGGCGCGGGCTCAAAGCCCTTAACCTCCCTCTACCCGCTGACGGGCACGGCCCCCGTTTTCCCAACAGTCCACGGCTGGGTGTGGTCCCCTCTAGCTGATGCTGGCCCAGGGCACCTTCCCATCGCGGTGGCCTCCCAGGGGGCCTTCGAGGGGCGGCGGGCTGCCAGATTCTCCCCTCCAGGCCTCAGAACTCAGTGAGGCTTCCTCGGCGCAGGCCCAACGCTGGCCCTCCGCCCCGCAGGGCTCCGGCCAAGGCTCGCCCCCAAACTGGCCAGGCCTGCAGGGGACTGCTCGCCAGCTGCCCCCTGGGCACCCAGGTGGTCCTCCATCCCCCCCGCCCCCATCCCCACTGTGAACAGAGGGCCCACTCCCGGCTGACCCGGAGGGGAGCAGCGGCGGCTTGCAGCCGAGCTAAGCTGCCAGGAGCTTCTATCCCCAGCCTCGGGGCAGGCAGCCGGCCCTCTGAGCTTAGATGCAGACGTGGTAAGGGGCAAGAGGTTCCCTGCCTGGTGTCTCCCCCACATTCCCCTTGCTCCCCACCCACCAGCAACAGCCTGTCCTTGTTGGCTCCGCACACAGTAAGCCCATGGACCTTGCACTGTTTCCTACGCCTGGAATGTTCCCTCCCCAGATCGCCCACACTGGCCCTTACCTCCACTCTTGTTTCTGCTCAGACATCACCTCCTCCAAGAGGCCCCCACATGTGAGGCATTTCCAAACTGATAGAAATTGCCCATCAGGATGATGATTACTGTTCTGTTCGGCTCTTACTGCTGTATCCGCCTGTGTCCTACCTTTTTCATGCCCCGTTATGTCATGAGCCTTTCCCCATCTGACGAGAGCTTTTGCTCTGCTCTGATACAAAGACCACAGGGCGTGAAGGTGCGCGGCCTCGTGCAGCTGGAGCAGCGGCTGAAGGGAGCCCAGCGACCCTCCGACATCCCACAGCCCCCGCGTCCATGGGCCCCAAAGACAGAGCAGTTGGGAGACCCGATGAGGGAGGGACAGGGACACCCCTCCCTCCCTCCACTTTGACCACGTAGGTCAGAAGCCGGCGCTGGTGGGGACATGCAGAAAACTCACCTCGTAAACTTCTGCAGTTTAGACGTGGATTCGGGGACAAACATGGGGACGGTCCTTTTGTGCCTGAAACAAACGTTTTCCCGGACCGATGTGCTGACTGACAGAAAGGTGGGACTTTCCGAGCCCCCGGAGAGCAGGAGCGCTCGATCGGGCAACGCCAAGGCCAAGCCAAGGCCAGGCGGGCCGGCTGCCCGCCCCCACTGTGTGGTGCTGGGAGTGAGGTGCAGAAAACGGCCCACAGTCCCCGCGAGTCCTGTTTCTTGTCAAGGCTCAGGAGGATGCTGGCGTACAGCCATGACAGCTGGGGTCCCGGCTCCCGCTGGGCCCCTCCGAAGCCCTGCCCCCCAATGTCCGAATCCTCCACCATCTCCAAGGCCCAGTTTGGGTGCCCTTCCTCCAGGAAGGCCCTGACGATCCCCGGAACCTCACCCCCGCTGCGGCCCCCGGCCCCTAGTCCTGCCCTCCGAGCCCGGGGTCCTGCCCCTCCCTGCCCAGCCCCCCCCCCCCCATCTTGCACTCTCTGTCTCAGCAACAATGCGCAGGGCATTTGGCTGTCCTTCCATCTTCTTCCACCTTCTCCAGGCAAACCCCTGTCCTCTGCGCCCCAGAATACCCTGTCTATACCTGTCACTGTGCTTAACAAAAGACAATTGCGTCTCTCCATCTGTGTCTACTCCTCTGGGGGCTCCTGAGGAAGGCCCCACGTGGTCACATATGACACCAGCGGGAGCTGGGCACATGGGGGCATCAGTGAGCGCTCGTGGGGGGGGGGGCAGAAACAGGAGGGGACTGAGCTTCTGAATTGTAACCCCAAACTGCCTGTGAACTGTCTGTCGCTGGACCCAGCCCCTCATGGGGCCTCCAACACTCCCTGCACCCACCTGCTGTTTGGGTGGTAGCCTTGGCCTCACCCATGTGGGCCTCTTCCCAGATATGGGCTCTAGCCCCCCTTGCCCCCCGCCCCCAAGCCCAGCTGCCCAGGCCCGTGGGGACCCCAGGCGCACTGCTAGCCTAGGGGTGAAGTCTGTCCCAGGAAAAGCCCTGCGGGGGGTGCCCTGGTCCTAAGCCAGCATGGCCCTGCAAGGGATGGACTGTGGCCCGGGGAGCCGGTCACAGCCAGAACCCACCTGCCGGGTGAGAAAGGTACGTGCACCGCCCCGTAGCCTCGGACCACATCGTTCCCGAACACGTCTGGTCCGTACACACTGAGCACGATCTGTGGCCCTTGGGAAGAACAAGACAAGGGGTCAGCTGGCGGAATAACGCAGGGGAAGGTGCAGGGCAAAGAAGCGGACATGGGACCCCCCCTTCTCCACTATGGGCTCCTGCCGACACAGAATCCGGGGAGGCGGGCGGGGACAGCGGTGGGGAGCATGATCTGCCACCTGCTGGCGAGGCCCCCTGCTCAGCCCGGATGCCTGGGGAGTCACAGGGCCGGGATGCCCCGCAGATCCTGTACCTTGACGATACAGGGAGGGCCCCTGAAGGCACTTCTCTCCTCTGCTTGAGGCACAGGGACCCAGGGGGGAGTGAGTAAAGGGGCCGCTTCTCGGGAGCTTCCTTTCTGATACAGGTGGTCGGATTCAAGCACATACTGCATGGGCTCACGGGCCACAGGGGCTTGCTTTGGGGCGCTGCGGGGGAGGTCAGAGGGAAAGCCCTTCCATGCACTTTCCTTTAAATGATCACCGATCCCACCTGTTCCCTGCAAACACGGAGGTACATCGTCCCCTGAAGGCGGGAGGGGTGGGGGGGAGACGACAGGCTGACCTGCGGCCTGTAGGATGGGCCTCCGGCCATCAATCGCCTCACCTCCCAGCCTCTCGGGTCCCTCACCTCTAAGACATGGAGAGTAGTGCCCCATGCAGGGCAAGTGCTCGGTGAGTGTTAGGTACGGTTTGGGCCCTTCCCATCACTCCCCCTCCCCCAGAGGTAGGCCCTATTCTGACTTGATGAAAGCAGATCTTCTAAGGTTTCCCCACCAAAGAATGCATCCCAAACATGGTACTTTGGTTTTACCCATTTTTTTTTAATTTAAATTTTTATTTTTTTTAAAAGATTTATTTGACAGAGAGAGACACAGCGAGAGGGAACAGAAGCAGGCAGAGTGGGAGAGGGAGAAGCAGACTCCCTGTTAAGCAAGGAGCCCGATGCGGGGCTCGATCCCAGG